GCCAACAGCCATTCACCAGCACTGCTCCATTTTTTCTGCTTCAGAGTTGCTCGTCGTCGCCTTCAGTTGGATTCGATCCTGCTCACCTTGTGCCTCCAGAGTGATTTCACCCAGTATGCGGTCACTTAAACCGCTCGGCTATTTAAGTTATTGATGATAAAAGTTATTTTTATTCTCATATTGTATTAATATTGAATTTTAATAAAGAATAATGTATCATACCATCTCTCTTATTCATCATCTGCCTCTACCCCTCTCTTTCCCCAGTTCTTCCACTACCTTCTCTTACAGTCAAGTGCGGAACTTGAGTTTTTTGTTTTTCAGAAATATTCTAAGTGTCAAGGTCGAAATGCGCCACCTGAATTTAATATTTTGAACTAATATTTGATAATTATGAAAAACTGTACAATCGATTTTTCAAGCAACTTCGGGATTTGAACCGAGAAACGTTGAGCAACTGTAGCGGTAACTTAACGATCTCGGCTAATTAGTTATATAGAACTGTTTTCTATTTGTAAAATATAAAGTCTTATTTCTGAAATGAAAGATATAAGTTTCCAAAAAATGTGGTATTCCAAATGTGCGAATGGCCGTGGTTGTTAAGTTACGGTTTAGGCCAGAATAACAATTCGAGGTTCGCCAGTTCAAACCCCATTTATCTGAAAAAAAATTTGGAACCAATAATTTTTCTAACTGTGTGAATGAATAAGACATGTAGATAAATAATTAAATTTATTGAGTGTCAGTATTACAAAAATCGACATAATATATATGTGCATATATATAAATATAAATGTGTATATATATATATATATATATATATATATATAAAAGTTATAGTTATAGTTTATATATATATATATATATAAAAGATAAGAAATAGTAGAAGGAGGATAATTTTTAATAAATTCATATTTACGCCTGAATAGCAGTAAACCAAACCTACTTTGGTGTAATTTAAAATTTTACAACTTTTACTATTTTTCCCATACAAAACCGGTTTTTCAGGGGCAGCCAAAATTGGCCAAAATCGTGACTTTCAAATGCAATTTTAAGGCCCTTAATGAATGAAATTGATAATTTTAATGAATGTATTGGTAGACAAAAGTACAATCTTTATACCAAACCAACAAAAATACAAATTCATCATCGTCTTCATAGTTAAAATCAGCTTCAAAGTTGGCAATTTTTCAAACTTCAAGTTGGTAGTGAGGGTAGAAGGATTATTTTTTCCAAAAACTAATTTCATATTCGGAATCAGCGACTCGAAAACTATCAGAATCGGCCAAAAGATTTGAAAAATCGCGAAAAAAAATGTTCATTTCATTAGTAAAATTTTGATTTTGCGAACAAAGATTTCGATTTTTCGCAAAGGTATGTAGATTTCTCAAAAAATAGATTACATTTTCGAATTCAGCGATTCAAAATCTATCAAAAACAATCAAAACATTTTGAAAATCGCGAAAAAATGTTCATTTTATTAGTAAAATTTCGAGGTTGAACCCAAAGATTTAAATATTCTGCTCATGTATCGAAGGTTATCTAAAAAAGCGAAAGCATTTTCATAATCAGCGCCCCAAAATCTATCGAAACCAGTCGAAACATTTAAAAAATGGTGAAAAAACTCAATTTTTTGAAAAAAAAAATCGATGTTGCAACCCAAGGCTTCGATTTTACGCAGAGGTATGTACATTTATTTAAAAACTGACAGCATTTTCGAAATCAGCGTCCCAAAATTTATTAAAAGCAGTGAAAACATTTTAAAAATCGCGAAAAAAACTCGCTATTTGATAAAAAACACTCAATGTTGCAACCAAAGTTTATCGGAGTTTATCCAAAAACGGATAGAATTTTCGAAATCAGCGCCCTAAAATCTATCGAAACCAGTCAAAATGTTCTAAAATTTGCGAAACAAACTCGAAAGTCAGTCAAAACATTTTGGAAAATGCGATAAAACATTTTTTTATGAAATTTGAATGTTGCAACCAAAGATTTCGTTATTTTGCCCTGAAAGCTCATCAATCCTGATATTTTCTCTTTTTTACCAAAAAAACATTGTCCAATGAGTTCTTGATTATATTTTTTCTCCGCTATAAAGGAGAGCCAGGTTTTAAGGTTCCTTGTAAGACTTTCTTATAAGTTATAAGCACCTGCAATAAGAATAAAAATTCATTCTGAGGATATACATTTTAAATAAAATTATAGTCATTTACTAATAAAAGTTTTAATATTATTCAAAATCAGAAACGTATGTTTATATAAGAAAATAAGTTTTTGGGTTGTTCCGTTGTAATTTTCGCGAAAAGAATAGTTAATATAACCGTTGTTATTGTAATGAATTATTAATAAATATTGGTATTACTAATTGTAGTTATAAATATATATGCGCTATGTAATAATGTTCAGTAAAAAGTGCTATTTCAATGAAAATCAATGTTAATCGCATTCCATATAGAATTTACTTTAATATGATGAGTTTGATGTAAGCTGTCTGTACGTCTGCTTTAGGACACATATTTTTCAAAAACAAAATCGCAATTTTAAGAAAAATGGATATTTTCGAAATTTTACAAAACCATATGATTTTTGCAATATCTCAAAAATTACGAAGGTATGTAAAAAATTATAATGATGAAATAAAATAATTATCATAATTATTATGAAATAAATTATATTAGCAAATTTAATCATACAGCTTTATGTTTTTTTTAACATTCAAATGGTTTGAAGGCCCACATGTTAAAGGATAGTGAAACATTTAAACCGAGTTAAAAAAAATTAAATTATCTATTATATTTACTTGCAAAAATCCTCGAGCTACTCGGCATACTTTAAATGTTGAGTATACATTTTTGCAATTTTAGAGTAGTTGCTTTAGAAAGAACTCAAACGTTAAAATAGTCTATAGATAATTTAATTGCATTCAAATTTCCTAAATATATTATTGACATTAGGCCAACTATTTAAAAATTACATAAAATTGAACGATTAGAAGTGCTATAATTTAATAATAAATAATGAAATAATTGCCATATTCATTATGAAATTATAGCACTTCTAATCGTTCATTTTTATGTAATTTTTAAATACTAAATTTAAATTTTATATAATTTTTAAACCATTTTCTTTTAATATTTAGAAAGTATGATATATAGACGTAAAATAGCGTTCGATTTCAATAATTCAAAAAACATTTCACTTGTATTGACAAGATGAAGAACTGATTAAATTTTTGGGAAGGCAGGTCTAGCGGTTTCGGAGATCTAGTAAAAAAACTTTCAAAAATTTAATTTTTCCAAAGTTTAAAATATAATTACCCTTTTTTTAATAATTTAATTTTTGGTACGGGAAGTTCCAGCAATTTGCCTGGCACAATGCCATACGCCACTAGTTAATTAATTTAATTTGAAATGGCACTTATTATGATTTAAAAAAAAAACATTTCTTACAAAGAGCATATATATTTTTTGACTTATTTATGATGTAAATATTTAATTATTAATAATAACGGTGCTTATAAAAACTCTTCTCAACACGAAATTGAATACACAAATATTTTTTTTCAATCAAAACCGCTCGTAAACTTATTTCCCTGTATAAATAACACACATTTTTTTAAACAATAAAAAAAATATTTCTTTCTGATTTTCATTATCAAAAAACAAAAAAGATCGGAGCTGTTTCAATTAATTATTGGACATTTATTCAATGAATTTAAAAACACATTTGAAAATAAACTTATTCAGTACTGAAATTCATAAGATGAAAATAACTGTCAACAAGTTTGACATATAAAATGTCTAACCTTTTATAATTTAATTGTAATGATTAAAGTAACAAATTAACGTACAAAAAATTGTTTTGGATTTCATAAATATTGCAATGCGCGCATAAAATAAATTATATTGTTGAAAATATATTTATTTAGAATGTCCAAAATGTTTATGAATACATAGACATAAACCACTTGGCCTAGAATTTAAAATATAAAACATTATTTGGTACTTACTTAATCACATCTTCATGGAAAAAAACACTCAAGCTTAAGTCTATCACTTATGATTTGAAAATTAGTTAAATTTTGGTAAAGATACTTGTCCAACCAAGGCTCAGCACAGACTGTTCATTTATTTTAATAATCTTTACAACAAAACTTAAACATCAAGTAAAACCTAAATATTTACAGGGTGGTAACATTGTTTTCAGTTTTAACGAAATCTTTTTCTAGGGAAATGTACAGTAGGCTAGACGACATTGGAATATATCTTCATCATACATTAGCATCAGCCGAACGCAGTAAATATCAACTATTCGAAAAGTATTTTTTTGCTTCTTATTTTAATAAACATGTTAGAAAATTATGTGTTGACTTGAGGATTCGAACTGCAGCACCGTTCGAAATGACTCCTATGACTCCTATGACCTATATAAAATTGTAGATATAATAGATAGATATAAGTTAAATAAACAAACCCACTTACAACCCCCAGGGTGAATATTAATTTTTTCATACCATCCTTTGACTCATCATCGTCGGTTGATACAATTCACTTCTCTACATTTCTCAATGTATTTTTTTTTTTTTAATTTCAATAATTATTACAACTGTTAAATTATTAACATCTAGTAATATTGATCAATAATATTATAATGTAAATGGCGCATGTACCTTACATTCATATCTCAATTTCCATACAAACTACAAAGGGTAAAACAATTCTATAGATTTACATATTTAATTTCCATATTAACTAATGCGATTAAACACATCTGGGGTGATCATTGCCTTGATTTGTCATTGAAGATGTGTCTAATGTCTGACATTTTTGGCCAGATGCTGCACTTAACACTGAACCACAGGAACCCGAAGGTTGGAACATTATATCTTTCAATAATAATGCTAAATACCAGTATTTTTAATTAACATATATGCAAATATTTTTCAAAAATGTATATTTGTAAATGTATATTTGTTAGAAGACAAATTTAACAAGTCATATAAAACTAAGCAGTGAATTATGTTTTGTGAAGCTATGCAAAATAAAGTAAAAGACAAATGCAGAAAATTATTCTTGTGCAGCTGCAACTTGACTTGGTGTAGCAACATCCTGCGCACCACCTCCCTTCTTCTTAGATCCAGATACAATATCATCAATACGAAGCAATAATATTGCTGTTTCAACAGCAGTTTTATAAGTCTATAATATAAATAAATTAAATTATTATGCATTAAGAAGCCAATATTAAAATAATAGAACACAAATGTTAAGTATCAATTCTGGCATCATCTAAATTATATTTATTCCCTTACCTGCATTTTTACAGACAAAGGTTCCCAAATACCACGAACATTCATGTCCACAATGTCACCAGTTTCACCATCAATTCCCCAAGCACAAGGACCTGCAGCAGCCCCAGAACCGCCATGTGATGCATGTTTTGCACGCAAGCTTGTTAAGGTTCTAATGGTGTTGGCACCACAATTTTGTGCTAATGTTCGAGGAATGATTTCTGTAAACCATAATTTACTATTATAAAAAGCACAATTAGAACTTCAAATGTATACCATAAATGCAATGTTTTTGAATATATTAATGATGTATTTATAATATACCTAAAGCTTGAGCTACGGCTTTATAAGGTCCATGCTGTCCTTTACGATTCAATGCTTGAGATAGAGCCATTTCAACAGCACCACCTCCTGGTACTAACCGTGGTTCCAAAACTATATTGCGAGCAACATGCAGAGCATCCTTGAGATTTCTTTCGGTTTCATTTAGGATGTCTTTGGACGCACCTTTTATAAAAATAAAGTATAAAAGTTATTTTAAATGTTTAAATAAAACATTAATCACCTAAACATCACCTAAATATACATTTATTTATTTTACAACTCCTACCTCGAAGTAAGATGGTGCAAGCTTTAGGTTCCTTGCAGTTTACAACATAAGCGAAGTATTCATCGCCTAATTTTTTAACTTCAAATAAACCACAACCAGTTCCCACATCACTCTCTCTAAGTTCTTCTGTTCGATTTACAATTGTAGCTCCGCAAGCTCGTGCAATACGATTATTATCTGATTTCCTCACTCTATCATATAAAAATTAGATATAATTAAGAAAGATTAACTACTTTTCTGCAATAATATTAAATACCTTCTCAAAGCAGTTATTCCAGCCTTTAATAAGTAATGCTGTGCTAAATCTGACACACCCTTTTCAGTGAAAACCACATCAGGTTTCACAGCTATTATGTCGTCACATATTCTTGAAACATGCTCCTCTTCTATTTGCAACATGCGAGTGAAATCCTGTTGAAACAGATTGTATTCAAGTTAAATAGTTCATTAAAATATGTAAATTTAGCAATGGAATGCAAACAAATTACTGTGAACAATGTATTTCATTGAAATCAGAAAATTTACAATATATACCTGATCTCCTAGTAGTTCTACATTGGTTTGGCTTTCACCTTTTTTGTATTCAAGTGGACAATCCAGAAGAACAATACGAGGATTTTCAATATATCGTCTCATTTTTGGATGAGTGACATCTTTATTAACCATAACTCCTTGGAGTACACAGGATTCATCAATTGAACCACCAGGAATCTTTTCAACTTTTGCATATCTGCAAGTATTTCCAACAAAATTGGAATAAATTAGCACTAACAAAACTGTATTATATAGAAATTAAATACCATGCAGATAATTTGAATTTGAGAAAAAAAGTTAGAATGTAGAGAACAGATTTTGCATGCAAAATAATCTACCTTTTAATATCAATTTCTGTCCTTCCATTTTCAGTCATTTTAACAGTCTGTACAGCTTCAAGAGCTATTTTAACTGCCAATTCTGACCAGCGGCCAATAAATTTGGTCCCAACGCATGAGCGTACAACATCAGCTAATTTTTCATGATCATTGGGATCCAAAGCAATACTGATTTCTGATTGTAATAAACTAACAATATCTTCCAATGCTTGTCTATAGCTACGAATAATAACTGTTGGGTGCATTTGTTGAGTTAGGAACTGTTCAGCAACAGCAAGCATTTCCCCAGCAAGAACTATTACAGAAGTTGTACCATCTCCTACCTTTTTTATAATGATAATAAAAACCCATTATATATTGAACGTTTACTAATACTTATATCAACTATAGGTTATACTTCAAGTTAAGTATGAGGTAACAATGCATTAACTAGAAGATCCATTATGATAGGTGTTTACTTAAAGTTACATAAAAGTACCTCCTCATCTTGTGTTCTCGCAATTTCAATCATACTCTTTGCTGCGGGATGTTGAACAGTGATTTCTCGCAAAATAGCATTGCCATCATTCGTCATTACGATTCCACCCATTGGATCCATCAACATTTTAAGCATTGCTTGAGGTCCCAAGCATGTGCGAATAACATCAGCAATAGCCTTTAAGTAATAAAAATAAGTCACTAGATTACTTCATTTTCAATATGATTCAACTGAAAACTAACCTTGCCAGCGTTAATGTTATCCAATTGGACTTTTTTACCAGCATCTCTCTTTGTATTTTGACCTGGAAAGTAATGTGCATGAAGTAATGTGCATAAAGTAACTACAAGCGTTATTAATTTATATTGTAAACTTACTGAGAACTAATATAGGAGCTTGCCCACCGCCAAACATCTTGTCACGTTTTTATAATTAGCCTTTACGAACACTTGAGTCACTCTCAATCAGAAAGATCGAGATTATTGAGGTTGTGCAAAGTAAATTGTAAACCGGCGGAAGTTGGTTATAAAGGTTAAATTATTGAAATAAACTATTACGATTCAATTATTAATGAGATTGAAAATGATATTACCATCTTAAAATCAACGATGTATAAATTAAATATTAAATCTTACTATTTTAAGAAACATGTGAAGACCAATTATTTTCACTATGTAAACGAACTTCACGAAACTTCATATGGGCCGAGCAGAGCAATGCTACCAACCAGTTTCAATTCACGTGGTCTCAGAGCGGGAAAATTCAAATCTTGTATTCGTAATTGTACAGAATATGCCTTGTAACTTGATATTTATTTAATTGCGTAAAAAATTATAAATTCGAGTAAATACTTTGCACATCGATTATGTAAAACAAATATATAACAATAAAATGTCACATAAATGTCAAAGTTTATTCAAGATAAATTAAAATGAAAATCATTATCACTTTTTGATTCCATTTTCTTCATTATTATTCCTCTCAGTAAACTTTTACTTGCAACAGCTTTATCCCTTATCATGAAATATATAGAAACTATGTCATATATAATATATAATAATAAACATAAACTTTAAATTGAAATACATTTTCAAACATATAAAGGTTTTATTTAAAATATAGTTTTATTACAAATTGTAACATTCAAACAGTCAAACAATATGTTGAAAATGAGTGAATAATCCTGAAAAAATATTTATCAATAAAAATTTATTTCATTGAATAATAATAAATTTAAAAAAAAAGAACGTTCAGTAATGGTGAATGCATATTTGATTTATTTATAAAATATTTGTTGGAAGAAATTTTCATATATTCAAAACATAACACTAATTTATAAATTAAAATTATATATACATTTCATTTATAAAATAAAATAAACCTCTCAAATTTAAAGAATATTAAGTCCATTTTATATATGTACATTTAGCAATTTTTTCGTGAAAGTTATACACTTTTGATATATCACAAGATTCCTTTTCAAACATAAACATTTAAATGTTTATCATATGTACTACATTTTATACATGTGGCAGTGATAATGACTTCTACAAAATGAAACATAATGTACCAAATATTCATTTAACAAAAAATTTACAATACAATCGTACCATGCACTTACAGAACACATTATTGTAAATAATGCTGTTTCAAGAAATAGATTTTTTCATTTGCTAATGCTATAACAATGGAGTACAATGTACACACTGCACTCTATAATGTATAATAAGACAAGGTATGAAAATGGTACTACTATAAGGAAGAGTTTTCAAGATGAGCCAAAAAAGTAGATTTACTGCATTGACAAAGCATTCAAGTTATATAATAATGTATGCTTGTAAATGCATAATACCATTGGGTTCTTATGAATCAAATTTCAAAAAAGTAAATTTTCTATAATTGTTGGTATGAAACACAATATAATACATATACATCTTCATATTTTATGTACAACTTTATACAATAGTATAAATATAAAGTGATGTGCACTTCATCACAAATACATTAAATTTACACTTCTTTTTAAATGTTGATTATCTTCACTAACACTATTATTTTTCTTTGTCACAATACTATAACAGTTTTATTGTCTCTTGTTAGTATTGATTTATACAATTTTAATACCAGCATCTATTTGAACTCTAGCTAATGTCTTTTTAACGCGCATTGCTGTTAATCGTACTGCTGGATTATGGTGCCAGCATTCTTGCATAACTTTAGAGATAGCTCTTAATGTTTCACAATTTGACCACCTAATTGGAATTTCAGGCCTTGTCCTATTGACGCATACACATTGTCGCATATCTTCAAAACTAGGATCAGAAGGAACAAATCCTTCATAGGGCAAAGAATAGTCATCGGCTACAAGTGTTGACCCTCCTTTAGAAGGTGTGGCACAACGTCGAGCAATTTCCCAGAATACCAGACCTAAAGAATACATATCTGCCATTCGGAAAGCATCAAAGTTAGATGTCTTCAATGTTTCGTCCAAAAGTTCAGGAGACATGTAACGTCTAGTTCCAACTCTTGTATTTGTTCCTATGTCTATTTTATCTGATTCACTAACATATCGAACCTACAAAAAATAATTAAAATTGATTATTTATAACTCACAATTTATTATAGTTATTTCACTTTTGAAAAACAATGATTAAAGAATGCAAGAATCAGATGCTTCATTTAGAAGTTTTTTGCTTTTTAAATCAACTTTAAGTTTAAAGAAATACATTATTATCATAAAATTCAAGTGGCAAATATGTGATATTGTGTAAGTTTTAAGTGTAGCATATCAAAAATGAGAAAACTTACCGCCAAACCAAAATCAGCAAGTGCACATTGACCATCCCGCTTGACCAATATATTCTTACTTTTAATATCTCTATGTGCAATTGCTGGTTTGCCTTTTGTACCAAACACTTCAGTATGTAAATGTGCCAAACCAGATGCAACCGACAATGCTAATGTTAGCATTGAAGCAATATCCAGTACTCTAAGTTGAAGATAATCATGCAAAGAACCTCGCTCATGGTAATCGGTGATTAATAGCATTTGGGTCCAAGAACCAGTGCCTTTAATATCTGCTGCTATAAAACCCAAGATATTCTCATGACGCATTAGAACTGTTTGATAAATTTCTGTTTCTCTGAACCAAGATGCTTCTTCAGTTGTTATAAATACCTACATAATTAAAGAAATATTATTACCTTTATAAAAATTTAAATATCTAATCATATCGTATTCCAATTTCTCTACCTTTACGGCAACACGTTCTCCTCGCCATTTCGCTAGCCAAACCTCGCCATATCTTCCTTTGCCAACTGGATGAAACATTTGTATTTGCTTAGCAATTGTTCTTTGTACTAATAATGGTAAACCAGACCCTGAACTAGAAGACTTTTCAATAAGATTCTGTAATGTGCCCGATGAATCAACACCTTGCGATCGTGGCAAACATCCATTTTCTTCATCTTTATGACGACGTACTGCCAGCAAAGCACCACGTTTTCGAAATCCTTTAACAGAAAGAACAAATTGATATACTAATATAATCACCAATATTAATGGTATCCTGATAATATTAAACATATTTTTTCTTATAATTACTGATAGGAATGTAGGCATTCTTATGAAATTTTATCATTGAAACCTTATAATAGATATAAATATCTTCTTATATTAGTATACACAGGTAACATTAATCTTTTCAGTATTTTTCTTTGTTTTTGAATGTGAACATAGAAATAGTTTGACACGAGTAATAATATTTTTATTTGGATATATTACTACAATAGATGCTCCAAACGGGAACAGTATGTGAATTTTTACCGATTTTTCTATTACGATGATACTTACTGCCATATTTCAACAGAACTCCTATGAGTCCGGCTAGAAGAAGTAATAAACAAGCCGCTAATGCTGCAAGTAAAGCGACTGAAGGGGCTGCTTCCGTCATTACTGGTGCGCCTCCCGGCGTGTCCAATCCTTCCAAGCCTGAATCTATGACAACGCGTGGTGTTGGTGGTTCGGGCAACAAGTCTCGATTGCACCAGTCGCCTGAATCGCAGCATTCGATGGTTTTGGCTTGTGTATGAGGTACTTGGGACGCTTTACACTGAGGAAAAACAAAATACTTGTTATAGAAGTGAATGATCACGGACAATATAATATGTCATTAAAAATCGTATTACTGTATAATCCTGAAAACTATATCTCTTAATAAGCTCAAACTCCGACGAAAAAAGATATATAAGAATACAGTGCTACCCCAGCATACGAGTGTTTCGAGACTCCGCAAAAGGAGCGATTTGTTGCTTCGACATATAAGCAAAATTTAGAGTTAGTTAAGATGACCAGTGATGACGATAAGTTTAAAAGAAAATTAAAGAAATATAATAAGGAAATTGAAGATTAAAAAGGTTGAAGAGTTATATAAAGATATATTAATTATAATAAATATTATATTAAATAAATAACCAAATAAAATGTATATATAAAATATGAAAACTGTTTTCATAATCTCTCACACCAGACACCTCTGTCTGAGATATTTTTTTTTTGTAATTGTTTGAACAGCAATCAGAACCCTTATATGTTCTATAAGCTGTTGGTTAAGATTTATGACTAATTATTTCATAAGAGGCAATCCATCGATTTACCATTCTCTTATGTGTGGGATATTTTTGAGATTAGCTCTTACGTCTAATAGTTAACATGTGATTGGATGTTGCAGCTTTGTCCACGAAGGACGATTTGCACTTGGAATTATATTGTGATCTATAACCCCAAGTGGAAATTTGACATCAAAGCTGCCTGATGTCGGGGTACGGCGGTAGCGGGAATCGAACCACCGAACCTGGGACTAGTTGCTGTCTGTGATATGAAAATAATATATATATATATATATATATATATATATATACGTAATTACATAAAAAAAAGAATATAAAAAAATAAAAAATAGAGATACAAGCTTGTTGCGAGTAAGAGTTTTCTCGAATAATATTAATGATAAAATAAGAATATGAAAAATTTCGTCATTTGTAACATTGATTATAACTACCATAAGGTTATGTTGAATGTTTTATGATAGTAAATTATAATTGAAACCAATTAAGGGCATTACAATGCCTTTATATGAGAAAAATTGCTTCGAGATACGAGCGTGGTCACAGAACGAAGGTATCACTGTATCACTGTATCACTTGTCGAGGTATCACTGTATGCTAATAACAAATTATTTCGGTATATTCAATATTACCATAGCAGTTTAAATAAAGATAGTAGAAATAGTTAAATAAATTATGATATAATTTAAGTAAGCTATTCAAACTGTAATATAAGTTTACCTGCATAAGTCCTGGTTCGTGAGGTGGTAAACATCCATAACTTCGTTCGTGAACATATTTACCGGTGTCCCTGTCCCAAACAGTTTCTAATGCACTAAAACAATATCCGCCTGCACTGGTTCTACATGTTCCGTTTACAGAACCGTCTGGACACTGTCCGTCACAGTAACATGATAAACCACCGCCTGGAATAAAAAGAAAAAAATTGTTATATTTTTTACTGAATTTAATAAACTTCTTTTATCTATTTGTTGTATACCTAATCATAGTCAAATATTTGTAATAAGTACAGTAAATATAATGTCAATAACTAAAAAATAATAGACAAATCTTTAAATATGCCGTAAATTAAAAAAAAAAACATTACACAAACTATTCCAGAAATGCAGAAAAATGTATTGAATTTTTTCATATAATACGTAATCAATTTATAGATTTCATTACTCATTCGATCATTCATGATTTAAATGACACTGCTGGTATTTTCTATTGAATACTTAGAGCAGTGAGTCATTATATATTTTTATACGTTTATCGAAGAATTTCAGTGGTTAAGAAAAAAATTGCAAAGCGCATGTATTGCAATAAATCAAGTAGCATCGAACATGTATATTCATAAAATCAGTTATTCCAAGTAAAATTAAAAGTTGTAAGAAATAAAGATTCAGCTAGGCCTGGTTGGGGTTAGTATTTTCCAACCTTATAACTGCCAAGCCCTAAATCGTTCTAATATTAAGACTAATTTTCCTAATATGTGCAAATAATGTATAATCATTTATAAAGTTGATTACATATAAAGCTATTCAATTTAAATTAAAATTAAATAAATAATTTGTTTACAACAAATCCTTTACTTTGGTCTGGATGGAAATAAATCTATGTAAATTGCAATTAGATGGAATTTGTACTGAACCTAAACTTTATATACGATATTCATAGTATTTAATATATATATATATATATATATATATATATATATATTTCAAAGTAACTACCAGCCCATTCGTCGAAATAAACTGTCCTTTTTTATTTCGACGAATGGGCTGCTAGTTACTTTGAAATATGTTTCAACGTCGAAAAAACTATCAAGATATATATATATATATATATATATATATATATATATATATATATATAACCAATGTGATGAAAGACTTGCAGAGTTAGACAATATGTGGGTAGTGTAAAAGTTTAGATAACTGCAATGTACACCTGGTGCAATGGTGCCCACGTAAGAAAGATATTATACACACATATATATGTATATATATATATATATATATATATATATAACTATTATACGATATAAAATCAAATGTAGTATTAAATATAAAACTAAGAAATAGAGCTAAAGAAAGACAAACTCTCGTCCCAATGTTACGAACAAATGTCCTCTTTTACAATTAAATTGAATCATCCAAGTTGCTATATCATTAATTTTGTATGAAAATTTACATATCTGGTATGTAAAATAAATAATCCATCTTTATATACATGATAAAATGTGAATAGTTACTAGAATAACAATAATAACACATCCAACACGATATATCCTGTTTTTTTTAATATAGATCCATTATTTCTCAGATATATTGTGAATGATTGCATTTAATTCGAAATGAGTTTCTGTTAAGCATAACATTTAGTCTATGAGTGAGTTAATTAAATAAACAAAACTGATATACCACAAACAATATATAACAATCTAATTATCAATTTTATGTTATGAAAACCTCTAACACAAAAATATTTAACTAGGCATTAATTTATGTAAAGAATCATATACTTTGCTTTTCATAACAATCAATTCAAACATCGGACATTGGCAATAAGAGAAGACAATAGAATGATTTATCGTGGCATTGGTTTTATGTTTCATAACCGTAAAAATAATATTCACCATTATATTTCATTGGCATAAACAAATTCATTTGTTTTAGCTACTCATCGATAGATAAAGTTTATGGCTATTCAGAGTGCGTAAAATAACAGTACAAATAAAATTATTATTATTTTACAACTATAAATTGTAGATCGGAGGTTTAGCGTTACTACTGATCTCTTAACAAAAAAAAGATGGGTAGACAGGTAGGCATCATAGTAGCAAAGAATAGACAGGTAGACATCATAGTAGCAGAGAATGAACAGGTAGACATCATTTGCCGGAAGATGTAAAATTAAATATTACAACATTGTTGCAAATGTTGATGATCATCTGCTTCTCGCTTAATTTATTTTTTTCATGATTATTTTTTATTCAATTAATAAGTAATATGTATTTTACTGGAACATTTAGAAATTAGAAATTTATAGAGGAAATCTATATCTGGTAAATATGGAGGTCCATGCATCGACCTTACAATGCATATTTATAAGGTCTATGGATCTATGGGTCCATAGTATATTCGATGTGAATGAGATATATCGTTATTCCATCCTCTTTCATAAATATTCAAATTTATAAGCGTTCTATAATGAAAAAAAATGATGTAAAATAGATTTAAGATAAAATAAAATCAAATAAATTATTTTTCTAATTTCAACCTTTTTCATATCATTTTATTACCATTGAGTAGACTCACTTCCCCAAACTGCGACACTTCGTCTAACAAAACGCTGAGAGATGCCGTTCGTCGTCACAACATTGTATCGCGCTGATTTTGTTCAAAAAGCAGTAAACAAAAAACGAGACATCCAAGTGACGTCATGTGATAGTGTGTAATATATAATGAGTTTTGTCGTCGTGTAGGTACACGCCAGAGTTTAATAATAAAACATTAGTGTAAGAGCATAGGATAAGATCAGTATAAATGATAAGTTTAAATTCCACCATAGTATTCAACTATGGGGATCAGCTTCCAAATCAAACTTGATGAAAATTCAAAGATGCTGAAATAAATTATTAAAAAAAATTTTGAAAGCCCCAAAGTTTGTAGCGAATTTGTTAACACTTTCCACTAGCGAATTCCGAGTTTTATCAATTGGTGGAGCGACTAGGGCGGATGCTGAGCACGCCAAATGACCAAATCAGCTTCCAAATCAAACTTGATGAAAATTCAAAGATGCTGAAATAAATTATTAAAAGAAATTTTGAAAGCCCTAAAGTTTGTAGCGAATTGGTTAACACTTTCCATTAGCAAATTCCGAGAATTATCAATTGGTGGAGCGACTAGGGCGGATGCTGAGCACGCCAAATGGGGACCAAATCAGCTTCCAAATCAAACTTGATGAAAATTCAAAGATGCTGAAATAAATTATTAAAAGAAATTTTGAAAGCCCCAAAGATTGTAACGAATTTGTTAACACTTTCCACTAGCAAATTCCGAGATTTATCAATTGGTGGAGCGACTAGGGCGGATGCTGAGCACGCCAAATGGGGACCACATCAGCTTCCAAATCAAACTTGATGAAAATTCAAAGATGCTGAAATGAATTATTAAAAGAAATTTTGAAAGCCCCAAAATTTGTAGCGAATTGGTTAAGACTTTCCATTGGCGAATTCCGAGATTTATCAATTGGTGGAGCGACTAGGGCGGATGCTGAGCACTCCAAATGGGGACCAAATCAGCTTCCAAATCAAACTTGATGAAAATTCAAAGATGCCAAAATAAATTGTTAAAAGAAATTTTGAAAGCCCCAAAGTTTGTAGCGAATTGGTTAACACTTTCCACTAGCGAATTCCGAGAATTATCAATTGGTGGAGCGACTAGGGCGGATACTGAGCACGCCAAATGGGGACCAAATCAGCTTCCAAATTAAACTTGATGAAAATTCAAAGATGCTGAAATAAATTATTAAAAGAAATTTTAATAATTAATTTTTTTTAAAGCCCCAAAGTTTGTAACGTATTGATTAACACTTTCCACTAGCGAATTCCGAGATTTATCAATTGGTGGAGCGACTAGGGCGGATGCTGAGCACGTCATAATGGAGTGCAAAAAAAGGGAAAAGGGTAGGCAAGAACTATGGAGGGAGATAGTACGGTAAAAATTCTCTCCCCCGACCAATTTTATAATATTATTGACAAAGAAAAGGATATATGGTGCACTATACAAGTATACACAAGCAAATAAAATGAAAGTGTAAAGATTAATTATAAAATGTGTGATGACTAATGTACGTGTATACAAAGTCAACAAATAAACAATAAAAAAAATTCAAAATTCACATGCCCAAATTGACATATTTTGGAACAAGATATTTTCTGGGATTTTTCTTTAAGATGCTGATAAATTATTGCAAACGCTTTCAATTAACCACTAAAACCATCTTTAAAAAAGTTAAAAAGTTAAAAATTTATCTTAATTTTTTGATAATTTCAAAAACATATTTCATGTACTATAAGTATCTACCAGCTCTCCTCTTATGAATTGACTAAATACATTGGGATACATCGGAGGCATCTGTCTGAGATATTTGCGTCCCGCATCTCGGAATCCCGCGACACGAGCGGAGAATTTTCCGACCAAATAAAACGGCTGAGACCAGGAATAATGAACATTTTATCTAAATATATTCACAGAAAATAATGGTAAATAATTATTAATATTAAATCATAATTGATAATCACTGAAAAATGTATAACACCTTGAAAAAAAATGGAAAGAACATATTTTTATGCATATTAAAAATGTAAGTATGTCTAATACATTAGAGTCTTTTGTTAAATCGTAGTAGAATAGCTTGTAGAATTATTTGTAATTTTGATTGCTTTGTTAATAATAATAAAATAATGTTATAAAATATTTTTAAATATAATAATATGCAAGCAGTGTCTTATCAACCATGATTCTAATATTGAAAATACAAAAAAAAAATATTCATTGTCAATATTAAGTGATCATAAATCGCGCAGTGTTACAATTGAATTACTAAAAAATTTCAGAGATATCATTATATCTTATAATATATAAATTTTAAGTCAAGGAGTACACTGTTACAATCGAATCTAAGATTTTTCACTAATTAGTAGTTATAATTCAAAAAAATTTAACTTGTTAAGATGCAATGCAAATCAATTGAGATATAGGACTCTATTATTTGAAGATGCTACCAAATCAAAATATTATAAAACCGTATTTAATGTATTTGTATTATGATTTTGTATGCTATTTTCAAAAATTGTGTTCTTAATTTAATATAATATTGTAACCAAAAAATCTCAAATAAGGCAACACCAACGAAG